TCTCTCTCTCTCTCTCTATCCGGTAAATGTTTGCACAATGTAAACAAACACTTTATGGCTATGGAAGCATTTTATTTGTTATATATCCAAATTAAAGGTGCTAGCAGCGACCAAGCTAATGATCCTAGGCTGATTATTAGCACAAGTTTGCCATCTAGTTAGCTAACCGTACCGTCAAACGCCACGTTTGGTAAAATTGACACTATTCTTTATTTCTACAACTATGTAGAAAAATAAATCTCTGTTGATGCATTGGAAATAACTTTTTAATTTTCTTTACATTTATTCTCAACAACATTTTTTTTTCTCTACTGAAAGTATTATACTTTCTTTTATACTCATAATAGCTCATACTTTTTATACTTATACAATATATACTTATGAAAGTATATATTGTTCACAGAGAAAAGTTACGAGCCTTGTTGTCCATGAGTCTCCATTGAGTCCTGTTCAAAGGCATGCAAGTGGGGGAAAGCTGGGATACTAAGCTATATTTTGTGATGAAGCAGTGATCTTCTATAGTGTTTCACTAAAAATGCTTTGAAAATGCTCTGATCTGTTTTTTTCAGGGTCTAGGTAGTGTCTCATTCCAGAGCTTCCACCAGAGGACGCTGTCTGCCTCCTCACCACTCACAGCCCAGTTGACATGCTATGCTGCAGCCCTTGTTATCGCCATACTGGGAATCCCACCTGTCTTGATCGGGGCTGTTGCTGCCTCCACAGGTGGAATTTACTTTATTTATTTATTTAAAAAATGACAGACCTTTAACACAGCTTTGATTTTTATTTTTCAACCAAACTATGATTTTTAAGTATTGTGTTATGTAACAAAGGCTGTTCTTCCTGAATGATTGCCTTCCTACGCCTTCACATGGCCTCTGTACATTAGATAGAGTCAATGTGAGAAAGTACAGCTTGAAGAACTCAGGTGGCACATTTTCCTTCTCTGGGTTTCTGTTGTACAAACACAGATTACAGTGAAGTTATTCAGCATTACTGGAAACCCAACTTGACGGCAGTTGAGATGTCAAATATGTAAAATACCAGACATTTATTGGAGCTTACGTTGTTATTTCTTTAAAATATCTATAGATTATCTCCTGACAGCCGCAGAGACTTTACTCTGTGATAAACACAGCTGCAGCTACATGTGTACCCATTGTACTCACACTTCATGCAAAACGTCTGTCCGTAACAGATTCAGCCTTTGTCAAATCCTTAAGTAGTCACATTTCAAAGATTAGTCTTTGGCAAAAAATTACTATTGTTTGTTAAACGTCAGACGATTTTTCTCCAATGATTTTTTGTTAGCATAGTAAAAATCCAATGAGCTCTTTTTTATGAATTAAGGCTTTTTTTTTTACTTCAAGTGCCACTGTTGAGCAAAACATCTCATCAATTCTATTCTCCTTGAACATATTATATAATTCAATACAGTTAAACAACATCATAAAAAATTGTTGTTGATTAACACACCAACCTACATGTGAAGTCACAATATTGTTGATTTTACATGTAAATCACTGTTTACTGATCTATTGAATTTGTATTTTACTTAAACAGCCAGTCTACTAATTCACTTACTGGAGGAGTTGATAATATGTATAAGTGCAGCATTAAGTGGATAAGAAATGTTCTATAGGATAGGGATGGATACGAGTATTCACCGTTGACCCCATTTTTATTCGAGAGTTGTTACTCGCGCACCTGTGCAAGCGCTGCTTTTGGCTACAAAACTTCAACTCATACAGTGTTACATGTGTGACCCACCTTTTTGTTTTCGCCTAACTGAATAAACTAGGTAGGAAAATAATTAATGGGATACAAACGTATGACTTCTCCGGACACAGCTTCAGCTTTAGTACACACAAATACAGAACCGTCTGCTACACCTGCGACATGTCAGTGAAGAAAAGTGATGTCTGGAAGTACTTTGACAAAAACGATGAAGTTAATGTGCAGTGCAAGATTTGTGGCATTAAACTTGCATACCATAGAAATACTAGTTCGATGCTTAACCACATGCGCTTAAAGCACGAGGAGAAAACAGGCAATCTCGCATCACGTCATTTGCTAGCCCTTATATGCGATATATGAGATATGCTCACATTAAGTTTTGTGGGAGGAGAAGGCTTCAGAGAGCTGATGGCGTTTGTCGAGCCGGAGTACAAGCCACCATCATGGAGAATATTTATGTTTAAATATTGGACGTTCATGACATTTCAGAGGCATAAAGTCTACAATTCCGGTCCGTGTCCGATGGACCCTTTTTTTGTTTATGGTTAAAAAAAATAAATAATAATCTGCGGGTACTCGAGTACTCGTTCATTAGGTAATTTGAGTAATCAAGTACAGGGATTACTGTAAATTTCCATCCCTACTATAGGAGGCTTGTTGATAGGGCCTAGAGGACAGGTGGTGGGCAAAAATAATTTAACTTAAGCTTAGAGACTTCATCCTCGGTCAGAGGGGAGGATTATTTTAGTGAGGCTTTTGGTTAGTGCCTTTGGGCTGAGTTGGTCAGACTCATAAAACTGGTCACTGATGGTTGCAACCTTTTCAGTAAACTATGAGGCAAACATGACTGGTGTGAGCAGAGTGGAGGGTGGAGGAAGTGGTAAAAAGATTTTTAAAAAAGCTTTCTTGTATCTCTAGCATTGCAGACCTTGTTCTGATAATAGCTCATCTACCTTAAACCTTGAATTACAGAATGGAGGTCATGGCTCTATATAATCGCTGCAGACTGATTATGGCTAAAGAATGTGTTTATTTTTTCCTCCTATCCAGACTGGAACCAAACACTGTACGGCTCTCCATCTCCATACATACGTGGTGAGCACAGTTTGATCCTGCCTCTGACCCTACAATACCTCACTCCATCTTACATCTCAATCATTGGAATCGGAGCTGTGGCCGCTGCCGTCATGTCGTCCACAGACTCTGGCCTTTTGTCGGCAACTTCTGTTTTCTCTTCAAACATCTACAAGAACATCCTGCGTAAACAGGTAAGGAGACACAAATGAGGAAGATGGTGGCTGATCAGCCGCAGAAAAAAAGTCTTAAGAATGTTTTGTTTTGTTTCTTAGAATGTCCTGTTTTCTTCTCTTGGTTTCTCAAAAAGAGACAAGATCTGTACTTGAGGTAAATAAATAAATGTTCCTTTTGTCGTGCTTTCAGGCATCAGATTTTGAAATGCAGTGGGTTATTCGGGTCACAGTGGTGGTCGTGGGTCTGCTTGGGACATCTATAACCTTCTACACCAAAAGCACCCTAGTTCTGTGGATTCTTGGAGCAGACGTCTCTTACACCCTGGTGTTCCCTCATCTGATCTCTGTCCTCTTCTTTGATGTGACAAATGGTTACGGTGCAATGGCTAGTTACATCATAGGACTGACAATAAGGATATTGTTAGGTGAGAATGCAGTAGGACTTCCTGTTACTCTTTGTCTTCCTGGCTGCATACTGGAAGATGGCGTCTATGTCCAAAAGTCTCCTTTCAGGACAGTTGCAATGCTCTGCACTTGCATAACCATCCTGTTTTTTTCCACACTGGCTGTGTTCATGTTCAACCACAGTCTGTTGCCTGAGAGCTGGGACATTTTTAAAGTAAAACGTAATGTGACTATTTCACCAGGAGATGCCGTCAAACTGAGCCCCATAGAAGAAGAAGAAGAAGAAGCAGAAAGTGAGGCTGAATGTGATGAGAACAGACATGGAGTTCCCTTACAGCCAATGTTAGAAACTGAGTCCTGACTGTTTCTTTGTCTTTTCATAGGCTGGTAGGCTGAATTGTTTTATGATCTGTGTGATATGTAGGTGACTGGAGAGCTAAAATAGGTGTTATTATAAGATGCTTATATTAGATGCTAAAACTTTTATCCTCTGTTGTATAGAATAGTTTTCTCAGAAAAAAAGTTGAACAAAAAGGTTATTATGAGGGGAAAAACTTTTTATTAAGCAAAAATTATAGAAATGTATTATACTCTGAACAGTTTATGAGTGACTGAATGGAACAATGACATCCTATTATAACAGAAAACAGCAGATTAGATGCCCATATTGGTTTCAGTCCCAGTGCTATTGTTTGGTTTTATTTACTGAGGTTGTGAGACTTCAGCATATTAGATCTATGTTGCCACCTATAAATATAAGGTAGACAATGAGAAAATTTGATGAGAAATGAAAAAAGAGCAACTTAATAATGTATTTTTGGGGTGCCGATGGCCTAGTGGTTATGGGCTACAATCTGCAGCGAGGGTTCGAATCCAACCTGCAGCTCTTATGCTGCACGTCATTCCCCTCTCTCTCTTTTCCTGATTTCCAACTGTTAAAATGAAAATATAATATAAAATATAATAATAATAATAATAATAAATCCTAATAATGAGAACAGTATTTTGAGTACCAGTATCTCTAACTTTGGATATTCCACCAACATCATCATCCCACTTCATTGGGAAACACTTTCTACCAAAGAGAAATTACACTGATTTTGAGTTATACGCGTTGTCATTTCTTTGAGCTGAAATTAAATGACATCAGACATTTAGGACTTTGTTTAAGAGAAGAAGCAGAAAAGCTTTGAGGGATGGATATTTGAAATAATAGCCTATAATCATATATTAATATGATTGAGTTAATGAGTCAATTGTGGAAATGTGTTTTTGTGATCTAGTTGAAATAACTAACTGAAATACATCAAAAGCAACGATACCAATTAGTCATATAATTTGCTCTTTTTGTTTAATTCAAAAGATGGGTAAACACATTTTTAAATGAAGGGAGAGATAGTGTCGAGTTCAGGATGTTTGTTTGTTGTCTCCAGAAAAGGGCAATCAGCATTAACTAGTTAATCTCAAAAAAATTCAGGTTTGAATTGAATGCAGTAATAAATTAGATACTATTTTGTCCCTTCAGGTGCACTGTGGATAAGCTTCTGCAGTGTCTCCCTGTAGTCACAGTGATAATTGCCATTAGCTATTGAAATTAAGCGATTCATTGTGATTACAATGTGATACTTTTTTGGGACAGGGATGGGGAACCATTATGTCCTCTAAATGGAACAAAATAAATAAAATAAATAACGAAAAGGCAGACACAAAAAAAAGATTCACAAATGTATTTCTGATTCACACATAAATATTTACAGTTTTGCATATATGTAATAGAAATCCACCAATATGTAATATACATACATATTTAAAAAACACATTTGTATCTTGTTACATTACAAACTGTTCAGTCTGCATTTACAAACTGTTTGTCATTTGTGAACCACACTGGATTTGTGTGTGGGACTTTTGAGACTCCTCTGCCGTGGTTAGATTCACAAATGCATTTTTTTCAGGAGGGAAATGTCTGTAGCCAATCAGATGTCTCCTTTCTATTCAGCCAATCACAGTAGCGTAGATTCAAGGGTATGATTTAATGTGATCACTTTAGCGTTACATCTGCGCAGACAGCGATTAGCCATCAGACAATCTGATTAAGTCATCTTTAATCTGACCAGCATAAAAAGTCTCTGTGATTGTCGTACTGTATGGAAAGTTGTTCACTCCATACTTCTCTATAGATTTTAAAATTCATCCTTAAGAAACCAAGTTCTGAAGTATGCCCATTGGTGCACAATCACTATAGCAACACTACAAGATGTTCCTGACACAAGACACCGGCTCTTGATGTCTCTGATGTCTGGTGGTGCTTGAAGGTTGGCGGTGGCCTCCTACAATTAATGTTATTTCTCCATGATGTATTCTGGCTCACGTCTGATGAAAGCACACCACTATTAAAACGATGATCTTGATTTCAGACAGGATGTGAGGAACAGCCGCTCTCCTGATCCAAATCACTTTAAAGACAGGCATACAAAAAAGTGAGAGAAATATAATCTGCACTTCAAACAACAGCCAAAATGAGTAGAGAACTGGATTAAGGCAACATGAAGTTACATGTTTGATTTACATACTTACTAAATTGTAATGACACAAAGTATGTTGAAATTTGGAAAAGTGTACTTTTCAGGGCAAGGTAAATGTAATGCTTCTTATGAAGCATTTTATCATCCAACAAATTGAAGGAATCTTCTTCGAGATCCGCATTAATTCAGTAAGACTTCATATAGCCTGCTAAAAAATGTTCAAACAACCTCAAAGTTTAACCTTCTGTTTAAGTCTCTCTGGTGCCACATAATTCTTTTTTTAAGATTTAGTTTTGGGCTTTTTGTGCCTTTAATGGAGAGATAGGACAGTGGATAAAAACAGAAATCAAGGAAAGAGAGTAGGGAATGACATGAAAGGTGGGATTCAAACCTGGGCCGTCCGCTTGGCCTCCATACATGGGGCGTGCGCACTAACCACTGCGCCACCAGCGCCCCTGGTGCTACACAATTTGATAAGAAGCAGTTACAGAGGAGTTTTTGTACCCTTTTTTTCAATTATTTTGCCCTGTTAACGTCAGTTTGTTATAACACAACAATAATGCATGATCTCATGGTCTGAAAAGTCACAGGAACGATGCATTTTTACTCCATGGATGGAAAAGAAGACAACACTAGCAGATATGAGGAAAAGCTTGTTGGGTTAGCTGTGTTACTCTCTCTGGGAACTTACAACTTTTTAATGGCAGATAAAACATCTCTAAAAAATGTGCTGCTTGAGATTTTGCACAGATTCTTGACTTTAAACCAAGTGTTACGTGTTAGGAAATGGCAAATGTCTAGGCTTTCATTAGTGGGCCATAAGATCATTTGGCAAAAATAGAAACTAAACAGTAATTTATTTATCTGGACATGTCCAAGGACATTACTATACAGTCAAGATAAATTATGTCATTGAGAAAGTCATACAAGTCTAAGTTAAGTCTTATCTAAGAAACAGCTTAACTGTTTTAGATTTGCTTTTTGTAAATATATTATTTTTTGTGTTGTCCTTGTCTTTTGTTGTTGGTTATTACTTGTAGTTCAAGGTAGATTTTTTTTTTCAGTTCCAATCTTCATTGAGTAAAACTGGTGTTTACTTAATTGTATTAATATAACAATGATATATTGTCTTTTTTATCTTCATTACTTTAAATCATAAAATATAGACAGTAACACACCTATGAAGCTAATAATTTGTGTTTTCTCAACTTGTCATGCCAGTAAGCTAAATTTGCCTTCACAAGTGTAACAGAAGCTCTGAAGGGCAGATCATTTCCAGCAGCTGACCTTATGATATCAGTGGCTGTGGAAGTTTAAACATGGTGGATTCAGTCTGCAAAAACGACCCACATAGATAATGATTGTGAACAGCAACAATGCCACATTGTGCGCGCCGCGGTCCGTCAGTGCCACAGTTTTGCTCCGTTGGACGGCTCGCGCCCATTCACACTGGATCCGTTTCTGGGACGTCAGCGCAGCGGAGCGCACTCATGACACATGACAGCAGAACTACAAGATCCCGCGGGAATAAAGAGAAAAACATGCAAACAACATGTTGCTTTGTCTTTCTGAGGATGCATTGTTGTTCATTCGGTTCCTGTTTTGACGTAATGTTAATAAAGTGATGAATGCTCTGTGCGTTTCCTTTTCTGACTTCCTGTCTGGGCTGTCATATTCTGTCCAGCTTGACGCGTGCCTGCAGCGTACTCCGGTGAAAATAGACTCGCTGCGTATTTGAAACAGAGCAGAGCGCAGTGCCGTTGGTGGCACACGCCAGAGATGGACCATGAAGTACAACGTAGTGCGCGGCGCTGACGGACCGTGGCGCGCACAGAGTATGTGTGAATTGGGGGTTGGAGTTGAACTTTTGACTGCATGAGGTTCTCCCCATGTGCTTGTGTCACTGCATAAAAGTGTTGTATATGGCTTAAAAAGGCCCGCATAGGTAAGATGTGGGTCAAACTCTTTTAGCAGAGGGAATCTTTACAGACTTGCATAATAAATTTAGCCAAGAATCCCTGACCTACATGTTTATTTGTGACGTGAGTGGTGTCGGTAAGATCCCGACACCTACCCAGTTACTTGAGCTGAAGCCGGGTTCAGAATCAGAAATAGATCTCAAGTGTCGGAGTATTATCCAACTCAGGGGGGCATGCTGTATTCTGAGCCAATAAGACAGCTGTTTTACAATTCAGGAAAAGGTTAAAACAGGATCTAATGTTGCCCTGCTCATAAACAACCTTAGACCCACTTAGAGTTATGTCATAGAAAGATTTAAAGAGGCAATTCACCCTACAGCCTGTAAGTCAAACCTGCATTCTTTTTAATACCTTACAAAACTCAATGGAGCAACAATAAACACAGTTTGAACCGCATGTGATGTACCTTCAACAAAATCAAACTCCAGATCCTGTATGTGTTTAATACAATAGAGTGCTAAAATGCATTTGAGCTAAGACAGTTTAACCCCTCGTGCCTATCGTCCATGTGTCTAAGTAACTGCCAAAAATACCATGAATGCCAAAATGCTTAGTAAGGTCAGAACAGAACCTTGCATGGCTTATATTTGTAAATGAACGACTATGAAAGGGTATTGCATTATATGGTTGTTATTACTAGTGATGGGAATTCCAGCACTTTGTAGCGATATGTACAGAATATACAGAACTTAGGTCAAACGCTCTGTTGACACTGTCAAACACAATCGCGCTCATTTATTTATTGTCCACTTAAAGTATTGATTATCTATTTTTATTTTGTATTATAAGTAATAATATTAATACAAATATTAGTACTTCTATTCATATTGTTCTTTTCATTGTTATTATCGGCATCATTGTCATTACCTACCTTTTTTTTGGGTAGGCTCTAACTCCTCCCTGGTGGCAAACATCCAGTTCAAGGTGCGCCTGTGGCATGCTCTTTGGTGTGAGGCATGGGAACCAACAGCAGGTCCAAACTATACATCCACCAATAAATCATCAGATTTCAATGATGGGCAATCCCTGGTGAACAGCTCGGGATTGGGGTTTAACAAACTGAATGTAGTATCAAGTTCACCTCTTTACAGCTGCTGTGAAGAGTTTTTAGCTGGTTATGTAACAAACTGAAATTAATATCAATGCCTCTATGTGACCTAAGCAAACAAGACCATCGGTAACAAGATAATTTATTGCTATAGTTATTTTTAAAGCTGTACCCCCTGCCATTGGACAGGCGGACCAATCAAGATCAACCAAGAATTGTGACGTACATCTCTGTCCAGAGGGTTTGCAAAACTTGAAACCAACCAAAAAGTTCTGCATAGAAGCTTGATATGATTGTTTTCTAACCTTTTGGATGTTTCATGGTCAATTACACTACTACTATTAAGTGTAGGGAACAAGGTATCTTGGGAATCCCTAGTCAGACATCAGACTACAAAATTACAGATTTTCACTTCCATTACTTTCATGAGCAGCGGTCTTACCATCAACAGACTGGCATTGCCCCTTAAAGCCATGCTGCATAGTGTTTAAAACAAAAAGATCCACCTTTATTGTTAATGTGAGGTTGACAGTCCTGACAGCATCTATAAGCAAAAAATAAAACGGACCATCATTTATAAAGGGTAAATAGATAGTTAATTAACCATTAGTTAATAGTTATTTGCTGTTAACAAACAATGAAATTATAGTTAATAATGTTTGATAATGATTTGTAATGCCATAATTTATGTTATGTTAATAGTTTATTGATGCACATATAACATTTCATACACTTTATAAAGTGTTTGTTAATGATGACCAAATTATTTATAAACCTTTAAGAGATGGTTTATAAAACATCTATAAACATTACAGAGACATATGGACCAGATATTTGTTTGTGGTTTGTAAATTGTTATGGTTTGGTCTTTTTCTAGTTTGGTTTTTCAGTGTTTAGTGTTTCTTTATGTTCTTATGTTTTCATCAGTCTTG